ATCCCCGGTGTTCTTCTACCCCCAGAGGTGGCGACACGGTAACACAATACAGAAGAGGGGTCAGATTCTACCCCCGTCGGGGACCACCGCTCTTGTACACAATAGCAGAGGGTGCGTGCGCGATGGCGAACTAAGAAAGACCGTATGAGACACGGGGCCAACCACGGAGAGAGGTGTGACTAGAATCAAGAAAACTGAAATTCCTCCACTATTTTTTCTTCCTCCGTGAAATACACGCTCTCCTGTTCGTACAGCTGTTAACTCGGTAAACTTGAAGAAATTTATTGGCCATTTAACAGAGCAGAAAAAATATCCAAGTAGATTTGTGGGGGGTATCGTGACGTATTATAGATCAACTGCACACTAGGTGCTCTAATAATTACGTACACTCCTGTTCATGAATATTAAGACACTTACCGAGTGTGAAGCAAACCTGAAGAGTCGTTACAACATTATCAAGTTGATACAATCTGATTCGATACGAATTTACGAACATAATGGAGGTGTCCCAATATACTTGTGAACAGCAAGTGTACCTAATTCAATACAATGCGATTCTAGGAACGTGCAATCCCACGCGATTACTCCTCCACGCGTTCCATTCGACCAAATAAACGTTTTGGCCCTGAATTCCTATCTCTAATTACCACCTAATCAACGTCCACTTATTTACGAGAAATAAACGACGAGATTGTAACATGAAAACGTGCGACTGCACGATCGTGCGCCGGCATAGTCTTGTGTTAGCTTCAACAGATCGTAAAGCAGGCGATAATAAAAGTTTCGCAAACCGTTGCTTCAGCGTTGCTTTACGAGCGGTGGAGATAGCTGAAAAAGAAATAGGAGGAGCGGAGATAGGTGGAGACGTATGGGGGTGGCACGGAAGGGTGGCGGAGCCCGCGGACTCCATTGTGCGCCGGTAGCCGGCGATTTTATTTGCTTATTGCTTTGTTTCGTCGCGGACGCAGCCGCACCGCGGGCTAACCAGTCCGCAGGTGTACGTTTTTATCCGCAAAGCTGGCGCAATGCCGTTAACATTCGCGGAATGTTCATGTAAACAGCACGTTACAGCCCGGGGGGAAAAGAGGCAGAGGCTGCGATCGTCGCGTTTGACGAGACAGCTGGAGTTGGAAATTAGGCATTTTTTTAACTTCTCGAATTTCGCGAAGAGAAACCTTCAGACGCTTGTTCTACTGTAAAATTTGTAAGTTCGCCACTTTCTTTTGGATTGCTCAGTGTCGTGAAAAGGGTTAGAAAACAAGGGTTGTGTTTAGTGTTCGAAAAGGGTTAATGTAAAATATAGGGACTATGTAAAAATACAGAAAGGTTAGAGAGAAGTTTGCAGTATTTACGTGAAGAATTAATTATTACTCTTTTTAAGGGTATTACAATGGAAATTGTTTTTAGCAATCTGTGCTGCTCCATTACGATTAATTAGTTGGAAAATTCTCGTTAGCATGCTGTTAATACACTTTTCTGTTAAATTTTGATCAATCTCCTCCCAGTTGCTGCACTGTCGAATATTTTTTACTATCTTCGTAGATTCCAGCTGTCTATGTAAATACTGCACAATTTGCATTCACAAAAACGCGGTGAACATTTTTCTACTGGTGGAAAACACTTTTTAATTCCCGAGATACTAAACCATCTCCCACGATTCATTAACTTGAACAATATCCAAACCCACCCCTGCCACTTTCACTTCGATTTCCTCGCAAAGACGATTCTCGCGTGTCGAAAGAAATAAAAAAAAAAAATCTCGATCTGCTGTTTGAAAAATTCTCATCCGTGTTGATTTAATCGATCGGCGAACGCGGTTTCAGGAGCAGCAACGCGTGATCGTTCGTCCGGTTATGTTCGTCGTAATCGTGAGCACGTCCTGCAGGTGTCGCGTTTCGTTGTAAAAGCGGAGCGGCGCGACGTTTCGCGTGGTTCTCGTAAGAAGACGATACCTACTACCTGTCGGTGACGCGGTCGTGCTGGCACTAATTGCGCCGGCGAATAATTGCTCGATAAACATCCTGTTAATCTCACTTTTATGTAGCATACATTGTACAACGATGCCGGTGTGCAGCCGCAGCACGCGAGGCCCTCGTTTCCCTTCTCCCTCGCCGCGCGCGGTGCAAACACGACAATTTCCATTGGGCGCGTATACAACCGCCGCGCATCCGGTACGCCGTCGTATTTTTTTCTGATGTCCATTGCGAACAATTATGCCGGTTACGAGCCGTAATTAAAGTAACGTGACTCTGGACATCGTGTAATGCCTCCGAAATGTCGAGGTCGCTTCGTTTCAAACGGCTGCAATTCGTGGAAACAATCTGTACACCCCCCCTTTTTTTTTCAACCCTTTAACTACGACGTTCTTCCTTTCTTCTCTGTTTAGTACCGAGTTTTCGTACTACGATGTTTTTCCATGCTTGCATTACTATGTAATATTCCGGGAGGAGTTTCGAGATCTCGAACTGACCGATTTCTAAGGAAACTTCTATACAACCCCGGAGAACAATAAAGTTTATGGAGAGGATACGTGCAACGTGTCCAAGAAGCGAAGATATATGGTGTTTGTTCGGGAAGTCTCGGAAGGGAAGGAGACAGTCTTGAAGAAAAACTGTTACGAAACTCTCTGGAAGCGTGTTGGAATGGAAACAGGTGGTGGAAAAGTCAAAAGAATCCTGTCATCGTGGAAAGCAAGAGAAATGAATGGTTGGAGAATATTTCCGAGGAGAAGTCTCTTCTCATTTTTCATCGAATTAAACCGATCGTCGATCCAAGTAAGAAACGTCCGCGGTATACGTTTCTACAGATATCTACAGTATATACACGAACGTTTTCACTTGGCGAGAACCGTCGGGTGTTTCGCGATCGCAATCGTACGTTAGAGAGAAAACGTTTTTCCGAATCCTCTTCGAGAGAGAGAGAGCATCGGTTTCTATTACCAGGCAGAGGCAAAGTGAAACGTACAAAGCGGAGGAACAGAGTCGTAAAGAGGAGCTAGCACACACACACACACACGGGGATAAAGCTTGCCGTGGAGAGTACGTGCCGTGGGAGTAAGCGGTGGAAGAAACGTAGAAAGAACACTTTTCCACGGTGAAGAAGACGAAGAGGAGACACGAGGAGGAGACGACTGTTTCGCGATAGTTCTCGAGTTACTTCAAACTCTCCGCGGATGTGTAAGGGGTTGTGGGGAGGGGTTGGAAAAACTTCCAGGCCAACGTCTTGGAAGTGTGTAAAAAAAGAGAACTGCCTCGGTTTGAGACCCAAGCTCTAAGTGTATCACATAGTAAATTTAGTTTTCCAACCTCCGTTTTCTCCCTCTCCCCCATTTCTCTCTCTCTCTCTCGTTCTCGAGAACGCTGCGCAGTTCTACCTACGATGAATTTCCAAAGCTATATAGCCTTTCCTGAGGGATCGTCGGCCATCTTGGCCAACATGGCGGACCAACGTTGGATCCGTTCGAGCGAATCTGGCCGATCAAACGGAGGCTAAGAGCCACGCTTTCGTTCGAGTTAACTCAATCCACTACCTCTCCCACTCTTCCCCCTCTTAGCATGCTAGCCTCATCTTCCTCTATCTCTCGTCTTTACACATCCTTTCCCCTACTACATCCCTCCAGGCTGTTCCTTCCGCGCCACCCACGACCGTTCCAATCGATGAGTCCACGACAACGGACCTTTAGGATACTTTTAGAAGCCCGCAGGCCGTCTCTCATGGGGGTGTACAAGGGTGATCGGTTCCCTCGCGGGATTCCGACAAGCTTGACAGAGAATCCGCCGATTTTCCACCGGAACCGACACCCTCTCTCCACTCTAATTCCACCTTACAGCTTTACTCCTTCACTTATAGTACCTACATCGGATAATCACGAATAATAGAGACAGCTGTGAGAATCTTTCGGCAAAGATTACACTGCACCGTGCAATTTGAAAGAAAGAAAATTTTCTATCCACGCCGATATACGGTTGTAAATAGATACGTGTTCGAGGAAGCGTTAGCTTTCCGTAAAAAGCGAAATGTTCGAGGAAGATTTCGTTATTTTCCTCGATACGTGTTTTCCTCTGATCATGGAGCGAAGGGAAATTGCGTCGTCCCGGCGACGAGAAAAATAAAGGAGCGGCGTTAACGAGATTCGAGGGGGATGAATCGAGAGAGAGAGAGAGAGAAGAGAGGTGGTTCGAGTACGCGTCAGATTTGATCCGGCGGGGTAGGCGAACGTGTGCGTGTATGCGTGGAGAAGCGCGACTTGCCGGCGTGTGTATCGGGTGTAATCGGTTTCCTCGGGGAATCCCACCCTCTCCGTGGGTGCCGGCGAACCGGGGGGATAATTTGCGGCGTCTCGATGCGGCTGCGTGGTCCAATCCGCGATACCAGCCAATCGGCTCACGGCTGCGCGGACTCAGAACTGAGAACAAAAGGATCTCTCTGCCGATAGAGAGAGAGGCGGCCGTGATCGCCATGCAGGGACCAGCAAAAACGCCAGCCACGTATAGACGGCCAGCGTACCACGGCATCGATTGCTTCCCCTACGGGCTACGATAAAGCCTCTTGCAGTTTCGTCCCTCCAACCGTACACTAACGCGATATTTCTTCGTCTATTGATCAGTCTGATTGATAATGGATCGCACTTCGATAATACGTCATTTTTTTTACGCAATTTGTCGGATACACAATTCTACAATTTTACAATTTCTTTGATATAGAATTTTTGGATTTTCTGGAATATCTTCGACGCAGAATTTCGGGATTTTCTGGAATATCTTTGACGCAGAATTTCGGGATTTTTTGGAATTCCCTCTATTCACAATGGACGACATTTGAACGACGGATAATCATTTTCCAGGGATTTTTCGAGATACAGAGTTGTAGAATTGAAAAAATTTAGGATTTCTTCGTAAATTAGGCGAGTCTGGTTTTTCGACGAGGGTTAATAAATTAAGTAACGAGGCGTTCGACTTTAAGCAAGTGTTTAAACGAAGCTCGGTTTTATGGGGTTTCAGGCGGCAAGGAGGACGACCCAAAAAGTTCCTCGTCCAGCACGCTTAGCTCGGTGCAGAGCAAGAAGCAACGAAAGGCGCGCACGGCTTTCACGGATAATCAGCTCCAGACGCTCGAGAAGAGTTTCGAGCGGCAGAAGTATCTGAGCGTGCAAGACAGGATGGAGCTGGCGGCGAAGCTGCAGTTGACCGACACCCAAGTCAAGACGTGGTACCAGAACAGAAGGTAGGATTAAAAAAGTCAAACTGAAGAAAATTTATGATATCTTTGACAGATTACGAAACTGTCCACCGTGACAATAGAGGATGGATAATCTTCCAGGGTGATAAACAACCCCTTCTGACGTAACACGACAGACAATAGTAACTTTTCTTCCTTCTCAACTTAGTATACCAGAGTTTCTCACTTGGAAATTCACGGTTAAAGTCGATGATTTTCATTGTAATAGGAATTCTTCGGTAAGTTAATCGGTAAAAATTCGTTAACTCTTCTTCACTCGACGAAAGAACAAACGAGAAAGAAGAAGAGCGTTTAATAAACTGTCAGGATCCCTTCGAAAAAGGTTGTCGCGCAACAAAGAAACACGCGAATCACGAACCCCTTGGATACGTAGCGAAATGAATTAGCCCCGACAGACAATGGAGAATTGACTTTACAGGAGATAAGAAGTGTCGAAGATCGATATTTTCGTTACTTTGTGCATGTCAATCGGGGGATGGCTCCTCTCATCACACCGCTCCGGAATGAGTAGCGTGGCGGCGCGGTTCTTTCGTGACGGCGCGTATCGAATCCGTAAATGGAAATCGCGGCGGCCAACAAAGGCGCTGTTTACGTGGTTAAACGCAAGGATCTCGAGCATCTCGGCCAGTCATGTACCCCTTCTGGTAGCTACTCGCGAACGCTATAGTAACCGCGGCGCGGCGGCGTCAACGATCCCACGAAAAATCGAGAACCTCAGGAACCGTCGTTTTTGCGCCGGAGAAAGGCTCGCGTTCAAGATACTTGAGAGAAATTTTAAACATTCAAATTCAAATTTAAATTCGAAATTTTCGGGAAAGCGAGAGATTGAGAATTAGAGCAGACG